AACAGCTGACAACAGCATGCCTAACTGTGTAGTAGCAAAGGGGCTATGCTGCAGTGTAACTGTGTCTGAATTTCTTTTCTCACTTAGAAACTCATTGTGTCTTAGATGTGTATGTTCAAAATGTTATAGACTACCTGAGTGCTTTCTAATCTTCTGCATGCACTCAGATAATCTATAATTCTAATAATTTATGCATTTGAGGAAAAATATATTTTTAAATATCCTTATCTGACTAGACCTCATAAGAAGTTTTAAATATATTTGAAACTTTTACTTTCTGTGTCCAGCAACTAATTACAGAGTAATGCACATATATTGTTTGATATATAATCTGTCTGCATGAGTAGTCGAAAGTTGAGGATCCGTATCACTAGTGAGAACAAGAACAGTCAACATCTGCATTATATGAATAATGCTTTGGCATTTCAAAACATTACTAAAACATAAATGTCTGCATAATTTAAGTTTGCTACTGTCAGGAATGTACATTTTACCTAAAAAAGCACATGCTAATGCAAAGTTGTTTTGTTTTCAGAGTGATTATGTTGCATTACCATTAATTCATGTGTGCACTGTGACAAGATGTAATGGTGTATCATGTTGCTTTAATGTAATGAATCCAGTTCTCCCAGCTCTTAAGTCGTGTAGCTGGAAATGATTACATAAAACAGAAGTGACTGTGACTGAAACCCTTGCAAAGCTTTAGAACTCCTGCACATTATAAGAAGCTTTTGGAGGGGTTTAAAGTAACTTCTTAAAACTTTACTGAAGGTTTCCCTTGGTACTATTTTTACTCTTTTCTGACTGTTTTTTGCATTCCACTGAAATTTGCATTATCTTTTAAGTATTGCAAGGGCTGTGTTATAATTTTGTGCAGATGTGTATGTTAAGTGAACATGATGTGCTTATTTGTTACATTTATGCTACTTTTCTTTCTTTATCTGAGTAAGATGGATGAAATTATGTATTAAATAAAAACATCAGTGATTTAGCCATGAGCATTCTCTGCAGGTCCTGTAAGACTGCAAAGATTGCTTTCAAAACTAAGGTGGTTGCAGAGGTTTCTGAGTATCCTCTAAACCTCAAAACCATAAACCTCAAAGTCCCTAAACCAGCTAAATCTTGCTCTGTTCTGAAAGACTCTCCTAAGACTCTGGAAACTTTTATCTGAGTTGATGTGCCCTGAACAGAAAGTTCACCATTCACTCAGACATTCAACATTTGAAGAAATAAGGATAGTATATCTTATAAGAATGACCTCACTTCAGAAGAAACATCTCGCTTTTCCCATTTCCATTTCTGCTAACTTTTCTTTAGGTTTTATCTTTCTAGTAGATAAATGTAGCACTTGAACCACTGCAACATGTTATTTAGTTCATATATGTAGCCAGGAAAATACTTGAAGGGCTTTAGTTTTTGCACAGATCATTCATGTTCCTATGTTGTGCAGTTGGAACTGTCATTTACAAATTGAGTATGTGAGATATTTCAAAGATTGTAGTGAGACTGTTTAACTTTATGAAGATCAGAATATGTAAATTAAAGGAAAGCTCTTGCCCCCCCCAGCCCCTCCCCTCTAGTCTTATTACTGACTATATCTTTTTTTTCTGACCTTGAAATAACTCTCAAAGGAAGTTGTTGGGTTGCTTTTTTAATAAGGAAACATTTAACTTTGTTCTTAGCAATGACATTTAAAAATAGAAATGATCAATATGATGCACCACTGTTCAACCAGAGATTTGTGCTTTATATTGATTTTTATTCTAAGTGCCTTCAGGCTGGGGTCATTTGAGTGAAAATGATACATTAAATATGTAACTAGATTCAACAGTATTTTTTAAAACTACATCTGTAATCACTAGGAAATTGCTTTTATTTTGAAATATCTTAATACATAGTTTTTACCAAAACCTAACCTAAAAAGTTGAGAATTTCCAAAATAGAAATATATTGTTTCTGTTAAAGATTATTTCCTTTTTGTGTATGTGCACACTGGTTCTTTTTACAGTGCTCTGTTCTGCCTATAATATACCTCATAATTCTGAAATATTCTTAAGCAAATGCCCTGATTTTTAGAACATTCATAATTCTGCTGAGGTTGGTGGGACTATTTATGTACTTAGACTTGAGCACATGTTTAACCATCGTCTTCAGGTGGAGCCAAACTTTTATTTTGAGCAGTAACCCTGTTAATAAGTTATTTACACAATTGCAATTGATAATGTAGGCCCCAAACCTTCTACCGCTGTCTAGATGAGGAATCCTTGTTAGTATCGGATACATACTTTCATTGGGATTTCCGGAGGGCGGGTGAGGCAGAGGAAGGAGAAGGGGGTGAAATAACTTTCGTGAATAGTAATTGAGGGCTCAGGCACCTGGATTGTGTCCTGTTTGGGGCTGGCTTTCTTCCCAGCAGCCTGCACATAGCGCCGTGCGTTCTGGTTGCATTATCCACATGGTTGACAGTTTTGTACGTAATGGGCTTTTTTTTCCTTTTTTTTTTTTTTTTTTTTTTTAAATACATCGATGGCTGTTCCGTGTGGTTGCACTTATTAGCAGCAAAACCCACCCTGTTAACGATTTACACAGTGAATGCACTTCTGCAAAATCCTAATGGTAAAAAAAATGTTAGTTGGAGGTACTTGAGCTGATTTGAAGTTAAATAAAGCCAAGTACGTGAATGTCAGCAAACTATTTTATAGGGGTGGGCAGTAAAGCATACATTATTTAGAAGGTTGAGTCATGAGGCTGGTTGGGTTTGTCGTGTTACATCTGGCACGTCAGTCAAAGCTGGGGCAGCTGCCGCCTGTCACTAGTGCTCTGTCCATCCATCAACATTAGCAGCCTAGACCTACACGCATTTTCATTGCGTTATCATTGCAACCACTTTTAGTGCTCTTCTGAGAACAACAGAAAATGGTTTCATAGGAGGGCTGATATTTTTCATGTATAGGCTCTTATTAGATGAAATATTTGAGTAGTAGGAGTGTTTTGTTGTTAGCTTACAGAAAATAAAATTTATATTTAATGTTATAAACAATTTTGCATCTGTTTTGATAGTTACTTTGTTTCTAAACCACCTCAAACTACTTTAAAAAGTAATGTCCAAAGTTGAAATGCAGTCAATCAAAACAAAATTCTGTAAATCCTGCGAACAGTATCATCCACTGAATGCTTACTAATTTTTTTCTTCATACATTGCCACATGAAAGATCTGTATGTGTTAAGAAAATTAATGTGAAAATTGTATCTATCACTATTAAGTGCAAATATGTGTTTGAGCCCACAATACACATAAATCACCATGCTTGCACTAGAATTCAGTAAAAAAAGTAGAAGTCCTGACAGCCAATTTTAATAGGTGTCCTCCTTTTGGTGGAATTAGTGGGCATTCTGGAGTGAAGATTTGCCCTTGTGCTTAAAGATGAATTTTGTGATTTACTGAAACTTGGGTATTGCTTTAATTATGTTCCTTCAATTTATATTTTCTCAAAAAGAAATTTAATTTTGTTTTTCAGTGTGTATAACTTTTTATCACTCGCCACCTGAAATAATGTCAGTTGGGTTCCTCAAGTTAAAAAAAAGAAAAGAATGAAACAAAAAAAAAACCCCACTGTGTCTCCTGCCAAAAGAAACAGTAGCCTCAGGTTTTGATAAAAGCACAGCATGTATTTTTGAAGGGTGAAAGGAGGATGAGAACCGGAGGGTTTTGCTTTCTTACAGAGCTGGAATGTCTCCCACCACTCCCAAGTGCAGGGCATGAACCTGCAGGTCAACCCTTCTTTTGCAGCTTGTACTTTACACCTGTTGTGAAGTGGGATAAGGACAGGAAGGAGGGATCTCTTCTAGAAATTTGAAAGGAATGTTACTTGGACTCTGGAGGACAGGGACGATAGTTCTACCTGAGCTGTGGTGGAGAGCACACTAAAAACCATATGCCTCCCTCCAACAATAAGGGACATGATAAAGCAGAGTAGAATAGGCTTATTCATGGTGAGATGCAGAGCAGGGCAGCAGGACAGATAACTGAAGCGTTGACTGAGAACAAGACAAATTGCTTTATTTAGTACAAAGTGACTCAGCTTCTATCAGCTGGATCCCCATTTTCATTGGTTTATGTCCACTAAAGACTTGCTTTGCATTTTTAACTTCAATAAAATAAGGACATTTATTCAGTGATAAATTAATATTGTCTAAGCCATCACTACTGATAATAAGGAGTAGAGTCGGCATGTGAATTTTTATCATCTCTTCTCTGCACTTCTCAGCATACATTCCAACATTACTGAACTAAAAACCTCGGTATGTTTGTGTTGAGTTTTTTCTTTTATTTTAAAAAAAGAGATCACAGATCAAGACATATGTATTTTAAAGTACTTCTTTTCAGCATTTTTAGATGCCAGTCCAAATTTTTCTCAGTCTGCAATGTGTGTATGTATGTGACAATGGGGAAGGATAAGGGTGTTTATGTTGTGTAACTACTTTGACTTGATAATTTCCTAGTTTCCAAAAAACTAATTGTTCCTAATCATGAACATTTTAAATGTTTGTTTGTCATTTTACTAAATTGCTATTCATTTTATTTTGAATGAGTGATGATAAAGATGACAGTATTATAGAACTCTCACTTATTTCTACGGAGCTTTCATGGTAAAAACCATCTTTCAGTCATAATCAGATTCAGTTTTAGCATGAGATGAAATCATTGATCTGAGAAGTGATTTACATTTTGAAATTTTGCTTCTAGTTTTGTGATCTGTTCCAGGAGATACATGTATACAGATAGACGCTAATTTTCCATGTATGTCTCTGGTCAGTGATGAGTTGAGAGGATATGCACTTGGGAAATTGTTCACTGTTTGTTTGGTTTTTTTTTTTAACAGAAATTTTGTTCATGCATCAGGGCAAAAGTATTTTAAAAACCCCAAATATAGCAAAGGTTCAGTTCCCACTAAAGGATCTTACAAATCTCTCTCTGTATCTTTGTTTTAACTTCCCAGGTTTTTATCTTTCATTGGAGGAAACACAAATGACATAGGCAAATCAGATATGCAGGAAAAAGTAAATGCAGTAATTCAAAAGGAAGGACTGGAAGGCACAGCCAAAAGGCTAAATACAACAGTGCACACACTGCAGCTGATCATTGATGGTCTGACTCAGCCTGAAGGCTTTGACATCCGAACAGGTAAACCTTTGTTTTGAAGGTTCTAATCTCACTTTGATTGTTCTACATGCCAGTGTTAAAATAGCACGTTTTCTTCTGAAGTCAGTAGTGGATTTTCATGGACGTGTAACTCCATTTCTTTTCTCGGGCAAGGTAAAGGCTATATCATAGTCAGATGTTTCTTTCTCAATAGGTAAGGAGTGTGAATCCTGTCTTAAATCATGGCATTTTCGGCTGTAGGAAGGGAAGTTGTATGGTTGTTAACAAATGAAATAGTTTCAATATGTTGACCCTATACTGATTAAATCGGTGTTGGCTCTCCACCATGGAGGGGAATGCTCGAGACCAAGCTGAAACAGTAGTAATAAAGGACTGTGGAGCAACAGTGTAGTATAGTTCTACTCTTTTATTGCACTAGTTCCTGGAGACAAGTGGAACTGGAGCACATGGCTCATGACCTAACTTGGTTAAAACTTTGCAGTAGTGCTGAACAGTTTGAGGTTGAGGGAAAGAAAGATGAGGCAAGCAATGAAGTAAAACATCTGCAGATGCTGTTGTTTAATGAAACTTACATCTGGATTCTCTTATGACAGCAAGAGATAAAGGGAGGCAGCAAAGATGCAGACTTGTAATAACAAATAACAAACTTATGCTTAAAAAATACAACATTTCTGTTTCTCTTTTGGGTTTGTTAGTAGTTTCCTTGGAGATATAAATATTTCCCACTAGTGATCTTGAAAATGTGTATTTCATATGTCTCCATTTGTTCTGGTGATCTCACATCTAAATTACAGTAGGATAGACTATTAACATATGAAGATCTAAAAGCAAAATAGAATCTTCAGTGGCAATACTCATATTCTGCTGATTCAGTACATTCAATATTACTGTAGGCAGCCTAGTAATCTTGTATAGCTGTAATCCGTTGTCTTTGCAACCTTAGTGACTGTCAGTGAGTAAATGCATCACATCAAACAGGGCTTAGGCAGATTGAAGGGTTTGTACTCTACCCTGATTCAAAAAATCTTGGTTTAAGATTCAATTCCCTTGTTCCCAACAGTAGAGATGTGATGTTAGGGAATTACAAAGAGTAGCTTTGCAATGTATCCTCTTAAATTTAATTGAAATTCTATCTTGTTTAATCATAGAATAGTTTGGTTGGAAAAGACCATTTTACAATCATCTAGTCCAACCGTAAACCTAGCATTGCCAAGTTCACTAGGTTATGTTTACTGAATAACTTTAGTACAAAGGAAAATGGGAAGAATTGTTTGGGGAAGGGGAAAGATTAGAATACTTTTTTCATATTATTTTTAAAAACTTTCTCTAGCCAAGGTCTTGCAAGGCATTTATTGCAAGAAGGTATCTTTTTAACAGCTGATCAGGTAACTGTAATGAACCTGCCAGGGTGGGGGGGAGAGGGGGGGAAGTTTTGCAAACACTTTAAGATTCCCATCATTCCTCTGAACCTTCTTGTCCTCATTGCCCTGAGTGGGTGTTTAGTGCCACTGCACAGCATAATGTTACAAAAGGATTAACAATTTTGAACTTGAGCAATTAGGTATGTTCCTTCAGTAGAAAATCCGATGTCATTCAAAGCCTATTGGTACGTTTGCCAGCTTCTGTAGGCAATTGGGGTCCGATCCACAGCCTGGTGAATTTACAGACTGATTGATTTCCAGTGAGTTTTAGCTATAAACTTGTTCAGGTTGTATTTAATTTTTCAAAGGCAAGTATAGGAAAATGGTTGCAATCTTGGTTTGGTGATGCTCTCTATGGAAAATCTCAGTTCTCTTATGTCTTGGAAAAGGTAAAGCAGCAGTAGGAAAAGGTTGAAAGGGAAATTGTTGAGATAGCTCAGAAGGTTTTTCTGCAGGAGCAGAAAGTGGTAAGCAATTAACAAGAGAGCTTAAAAGATCTATCTATGCATTAAATGTAGAAAGTGAACTTTAATACACTGGGATATTACTTGCTTGTAATCAGACGTGTGATTTTTAAGTTGGCAGTGGAAAGAAGCAGTTGATTGTGTGACGTCATAGGAAGCAGTTGCTTGTGTGATGTCATGGTGCAAATGAACAGCAAGCCTAAGAACAGTGCATTGTTGACTTTTTCCTTTAGTATGTGATGAGACTGAATATTCAACTCCCTGTATACAAATTTGTATAGGAATAGAATTTTATGCGTAATTTATGTAGCTCAAGTAAGAGACACCTCAAGTCTTCTCCCTAGCTCCAAGAAAATTTAAATGTTTTGATCACTAGCTAAGATACTACATACTTCTGATCCCCTTGTGATAGTTTCATACCATGGACATCACTATACTTATTAATCTGTTAATCATAGTCTGTTAAACTGATTCATAAAATGCAAGAAATCGGTTGTTTATCAGAGATGGGTCTTTATTTAAAAAACATACTGAAGCAGTATTTGGGACCTTAGAGGTACCTCGGGAGGACTTCTTAATTATAAACAATAGGCTGGAAACAACTGTTAGAAAATAATGCAAGCTTTTTCTCTAGTGTCTTATTTTTGTTTCTTGTTTCTTGTAACAGATTTTGATAAACCTGACTTCAAGAGAAGCATAGTCTGCTTTGAAGACTTAAGTGTTGGTACTGTTCTGACTGGAAAAGTTGAAAATGCGACGCCATTTGGAGTTTTTGTTGATATTGGTGTGGGAAAAGCAGGTTTGATTCCAGTGCGAAACATAACAGAAGCAAAACTTTCTAAAGTGAAGAAGAGAAGAAGCCTGGGGTTAGGTCCTGGAGAAAGAGTGGAAGTTAAAGTGCTTAATGTTGATATTCCTCGACTGAGGATAACGTTGGATCTTATTCGTGTTTTATGAGAGGGTTTTTTATGATTGAGCCTCATTTTAAAGGTTAAGTAATGTCAGCAAGGTTCTGGAGATTCAGGCATTTAATGGGAGTGTTGAAAATGAACAAATTTTGAAACATTCAGCCTTGCTTCCTTTTTTTTTTTTTTTTTTTTTTAAATCCAACAGTTTTTCCACATTTCTTGAACATTTTCTGTTAATAATTGTTGGAGCAGTTCATTGAATTACCTCCAAGCAACCTTGTTATTTTGTCTGCACAGCAAATGAAATTCCAGTGGACTGTCAAACAGATCTCTTATCTGTTTATCTGTTCTGCCTGTGCAAGATATGCTGCCTCAATCCTTAGTCAGTACTGCATAAGCAGACACATCTACTGCTCCCTTTCAAAAAACAGCCATTCAGTTTGCCTGTTTTCTGGTTGAAAGTCTAAAAGAGGGTACCTAGTTGTAGAAAAAAAATGATCTTTTTAAGTTAGTTGGCGATGATATCGCTTCAAATGTAGACTGAAAAAAGTGCATCTGCTAATACAATTGACGGTTCAGAAATATTTGGCTTTAATTTATTTGAGCAACATTATTAGGAGGTCTGTTTACCTGTCTTATTATTGCTTGTTCAGTTACATTCAAGTGTATTAATCAATGCTATCTTGGGGTTTAAGGAACTTTGCTCAAAAGTGTCAAAAGACATTTATGTTGGTCTGTACTTGTGCAAAATAAAAACATTTCTGGCCATCTTTTCTCACTGTACTGGTTCTACAAATGATTTAACAGTCCTAGTTCTCTTTCTTTCCAATATGTGTTCCATCAGTAACACTTCAGCTTAAGGATGCAGCTTGTGAGGATGCACTTCTCTGACCTTCTGAATGGTATGCACTTTCCTGAGCTTTCATACCAGACTACAGCCCATGGCCTGTTGTTGTTCCTGATTTAATAAAATAGTTCTAGTCTGTCTTGGACTTCTTTAACTTTATGTTAATTTTTTTACATCTTTGATATAATGTATTTTTCTGCCTGTTTTGAATGGAGAACAATTTTTCAACACTTGTCTTCACGTGCTATTCTCTTGAAGGCATGATTCTCCATAAAAAACTTTTTTACTGTTTGTAGGTGCTTGCAAAGCTTTTCTTCTAGACTTCCATTTTAATAAGAATTCTCATTATTTCCTGCTAGGAGTGCCTTGCACGCGAGGTTTGTTTCTTCCACCTAGAGACTTCTTGTTTTGATGATATTTTGATGGTATTTCAATGGGTTTAGCAGTTTGCAAAGGACAGGCAGTGATATAGTGGCAGAAGTGCCTTCATTAACAGCACGTATATGTGACCTTTCCAGGTAATTTTTGGTGTGTTGGATGTTTATTCCTTTGAAGTCATCTAACTCACCTATAAGTTGGCAGAAATGCCTGTATTTAAAAGATGAGCACAGACAACATCTATAGCAAGTGTCAAACATATTTGATAACAGGGTTTCTAACTACAAGTGTCTAAATAGCTGTTGGCACAGGCACTAAGTATTAGTTAGGAAAAGGTTGGCATAATTTAATCTCCCAGCTCTGCTTTAACTTTCAAAATTAAGGTGGGAGGTGGAAAGGACCATTCCTTATGGTGGGAAGGTCAGCACAGCTTGGAATCATGTTTCTTGGGCCTTTTGAAATTTTCCTGTAATACTTCTGCAAAGTAAATTTTCTTGGTTTGAAATTAGAAACTGTAATACACTTAGCAAATGAACTGAATTTGCTTGTTCTCAAAGAAGGAGATAAACTTGGTCTTCTCCTGAAGCTTGTTTCAATGGCTAAGATGAAGAGTATTTTCTCATTGTACTATTTTGTTACTGAAATTCATTTTTTTTAATCTTTAATATCTTGAGGACTGTAGCATCTTCTGCATCTTTGTGTCTATCTCTCGGATGATCATAAAATTCTCTAAATGAAAGACTTGAGACTGTTTTTCTCACTGTTAATTCACAGGAGGCTTCTTGCTTGCAAATCAGCTTATGTACTCATGAGAGTTTGGTTTCTCCTTAGCAGAACTCAGAAGCTTATTCTATGGCATCACAGGGGCTATTGGAAAATGTCATTTTTTTAATTACACCAAAATGGAAAGTTTATTACTATTAATGTAATAAATATTTGCAACTCTGCAAATGTAATCCCATTATTTTCAGCTAATTCAGTGTCTTAACTACTTCTCACAAAAATATTTTTTTCTTTGCAAGTTCTTTTTTTTTTTTTTTTCTTTGCCAGAATGACAGCCAAATGAGAGTCTAATGAGGATGAATATGTATTCATATGACCACCTCAGTTTTTGTCAGATCTTTGGAGATTTTAAAATTTTCTTAATCAGTTTTCTTCTTGAACTCTTGTGATTTTCAGATTTCTGGCATGAAATCATCAAGACTTTTCTCTAATTCATCTCCCCCTCTAGTTTCGGAATCAAGAAAAAATTACTGGCTGGGTGCTTTTTCCTACTTGAGATGCTCTTCACAATGCAGTCCAATCTTCAGAAAGAATTCTGTAGTGCTTAATGGTGATGCCTCCAAAATTTAAAACAAACAGAAAAAACTGATCTTACTTAAATGCTTCAAAGTACGGTTTCTCAAGGGAAGAATTAAATATGAGTTTTTAAGTCTCACTAAAAATTTTACTTTTGCCTTAAGCTGTAGATTCCAAGGAACTGTTCTACCTTTCCACAAGAGAATCCAGCCCATTGATCTTAGCTGACAATCTGCTTTTTTAGTCACACCCTCACTCAAATAGTCTGGTATTTTGCAATTGCCTTCCTCCAATATGCAGACCCATAAGAAGAGCTTCTAAAGATTTCCTGTGCTTTAGATGTTATACAAAGGAGAAGAATTATTCTACCAAACAAGATGGCACTTGTATGCCTGGCTGTAGTAATGCAAATCAAGAGTTTAAAAGAAGCCATTTGTTTTGGTTTTATGCCTGCCTCAGGCAGTTTTAGACAGCGTATATCAATTTTCCAGAAAGTTGTCAACCTCAGGAATGATTTAGTATGCTGTTAAACATAATAAAATCAATAGGAAAACAAATAGAATTTCCATGAGGAGCAGACGGTTGGAGAAGCTTGTCCATATGGCATATAGACATGCTGGAATTTGGGGCTTTGTGGGGTACTTGTGTTAGAAAAATTGCATACCAAGCAAAGGTAATGCATAATTCAAGAGAACAAATAATCTAACAGCTTTGTGGTAGTGCATCTTGAACTTGGTGTCTGTATTTATTTAACAACAAATACACTTAGAAACTCTATGCCTGGAAGCTAAAAACCAAACATGAATCATATTTGCCTAATTTCAGAGCTCTATATAAGGAACCTCACCCTCTCTGAAGTGAGTGCCGAGTTCTTGATCCAGTCTAAATAGCACCTTTGCTTTTTTTAGCCTTCCTGAGGGTAATATATGTAGCTACTGGCTTTGCTTTTGGACATCCAACTTCAAGACTATCAGTCCTGTAAGACAGTGGAGAGAAGCAGTTGTTTACACCAGTCCATGTTAGTCTATAGCACTTCATTTTGTTCAAGGTTTCCTAAAGACCTGTGAGGGAGTTGGTGCATCTCTGGGCATGTGTAAAAACTAGGCAAGTCAGTAGCTCCACTCCTCCCTATTAGAGACCTTCTAGAAGTTTGAGAGCACCTTGCTTTACTGATCCCAACTGTTCCTCACCCTCCTCAGAGACATGTAGAAGCTGTAAGTGTTTAGAAGTGTTTCACCTTGAGAAATCCTTGTGAATACATACTCCATAAAGCTTCACAAGCAACTGATATGCCTGCTTTTCTTACAGCAAACATCAGTGACTGATTTTTAGAGAACTTCGGTTGCCTGTTTCCAGTTGAGCCTCCAAATGGTCCCTTCAGTAGATGTTGCGTCTATGCTGGCTACAGGTACCTCCCGCCAGGATGCTGTTGAAGAGTGCTGCTTACTCTGAGGTGTCTCTAGGAGCTGACTAGTTGCTTCCATCTAATCCATGTTGGAACTTTGACTGGTTGGGCATTTTTCCAGATTGACATGAGTCACTCATGACAGGTCAATCTGTTCTCATAAAGGTTTTCTGCAACTGATGGCAATATAGAGAGAACTAGAGTTGAATAGCAAATCATAAGAAGTCTATAGATTGCACCACAGACTTTACTACAGCTTCTGCAACTTGGAGATCAACAGTCAAAATTCTTCAGTCTAGGAGGGACCAGACTTCTGCATGAGCTTGTACAATGGGGCTTGCTGCTGTTAATCTTTCTGCTGGTTTTCATGCTGTTCTTCTAGCTGTTAGGTCTCCCCTGGGCGTGTTCTAGGTGCATCAAAAATCCTGAGAGATTCTCTACTCCTTGGAAGTATGAGAACTGGTGGCCATGCCCAGACCAGGATGACTCCTCCCTTTGAGAATTTTAAATCTAACCAAAAGTTTAGAGTAAAACACTCCAATCTCATGTCACTTGTTCTCTGTCCTGACTAGGAGCCAACAGGCTTTTGAAATTGTCCTGCTTACTCCTTGTTTCACTGGTTAGAGCTTTCACCTTATTCAACTACTTCTAGATCTGAAGAGGATTAAGGCATGCTCAACACAGCAGTCCAATTAATGTTATTAGAAACTTTTGTTTGTTTGTTTTGTCTCCCTCATTCTCCTCCACAAGGAGTGACAAAGGAACACTTAGTAAACTGAGGAGCCACATGATTTCTTTAGCTTTATTAAATCTGGTTGAGTTCAGCCTTTTGTGTGTGGAGAGGTCGTTTGTCTTCAACAAGGAATCAGGAAACCTACCACATTAGAAAAATTAATTGAAATTTTATTTTCTCCTTATCTTACAGATACATTTCTCCTACTACACTTGTATATTACTAAATGAAAAGTGGTTTTGGTATGCAATCAGCTACTCTGGAGTTTTGCATTCTCATATCTCATCATCAGTCATGTTTCTAGTAAAGACTATGCCTTTATTTGTGGTCAAGCAGTGAATTTTTTTGTGTGTGACTCATGATCAGGTATGTGGAAATAATGTCACAAGAAG